GTTACCCAATGAACAGTGAAAGTGTCCTTTCTCCCAAACTGCTCCTACTAGGTTAACTAATACCAAGTCAAACTCCTACTACGTTAACTAATATCAAGTTTTTTTTTAATGAATAAGGGGGGGGCCTTCAATATTCAAAGTACCTGTTTTAAGATAAAAAGAAATTCATCATGTTAACAACCAATTCTTTGATTGTGTTTTATATTTGTTAAGTTTCTCAACTGATGCATATCTGCACAGCTTCATTCTAGGGGTTGCTAACATATTTCTGCATGGTGTAAGACAAGCAAGAAGACTGGTAATCAAGGTATCTGGAAGTCATGTAGAAAGGCGTTTCAGGCCCGGAGCGGTGGCTGACACCTGCAATCCCAGCACTTTGGGAGGCCAAGGCGGGTGGATCATGAGGTCAAGAGATCGAGACCATCCTGGTCAACATGGTGAATGTCTCTACTAAAAATACAAAAAATTAGCTGGGTATGGTGGCGTGTGCCTGTAATCCCAGCTACTCAGGAGGCTGAGGCAGGAGAATTGCCTGAACCCGGGAGGCGGAGGTTGCGGTGAGCCGAGATCGCGCCATTGCACTCCAGCCTGGGTAACAAGAGCGAAACTCTGCCTCCAAAAAACAAAAAAAAGATAAAACTTGGCTATACTTAAAGTATTCCTAAGTTAACAAAATAAAAATTGCCCGTGAATGCATACTTACATATGTTTATTATACACTTATATTTGTTTTTATATGTTTATGTGTGTTTATTACAACATTTATGTTATATACAAAGTCCGTATATAACAGAAACACACCAAAGCCAATACTATTTTCATTTTAAAATCTACAGTAACTTGGAAATCAACATATTTGTAATTTAGGCTGAAACATTTCATTTCCCAGGTCACTCCCAATGATTCCAATTTTAAAATAATTACAAGAGGAAACAAGCCTGGCTACTTTTTAATGAATACTAGCCTCAACTTAATTATATGTTGATTCAGCTCAGTTCCCAAATTTAGGGCAAGTTTTAACTGGAAAGATAGCATACCATCAGAAATGAAAATAAAATGTCTCTCATGAGTTACTATAAAGAAATGATTATCAATCCATTGTTTCTTACCTAATCAAGGATCTCACTTAGGTAAATGCCCTCTCTTGTCCCTGCATCAATTTTTCCTTCCCTACTGACTCTCTTCATATACAAACACTTTAAAATCTCTCAAATGAAATAAAAATCCTCCTTAACATAGAGGTATTGTCATATTTCTCTGTTTTACAGCAAAGTTCCTCAAAAACTACCTATACCTATATCTTCATTGCCCTCACCTCTCATTCATTCCTGAACCTACTCCCTCCAATAACGCTTTCATTTCCACCACCCACAGAAACTTTTCTTCTTAAGGTCACCAGTGATTTCCACATTGCCAAATCCAATTAACAATCCTCAGTCCTTCCTGGCAGCATTTGATACAGCTGACCACTTTCTCCTCCCTGACACATTTTTCATCCTTTGGCCTCCCAGAGACATCACTCACTCTTGGTTTCCTCCTTCCTCACTTCTTCTCCCTTCAGTATCTCCTTTGCAAATGTTCATCTTCATTCTGGCCTCTAAAAAGTTGGCTAGTCCAAGGGCTTAGTCCTTGAAACTCTTCTCCTGACTATCTTTATTTTATTCCCTAGGCAACCTCTGTGATTATATATACTAATATAGCCCTTATTTCTATCTCAAGTCTGGTGCCACTTCTTTGTACTCCAGATTCATTTAGCCAGCTGCCCATTAGTAATCTCTGTTTGGATATCTAATAAGCACTTCAACATTAACAAGATCAAAACCAAAAACCTAGATTCTATATAAACACTTCAAAATCTACTCCACGCTTCCACTCATCTTCCCCTTATCAATATAAAAGTAATTCCATCCTTCTAGTTTCACAGGACAAAACTTAAAAATCATTTAATCGTGATTTTTTAAAACCACATCGTTATAAATTTTTTTTTTTTTGAGACGGAGTTTTGCTCTTGTTACCGAGGCTGGAGTGCAATGGCGCGATCTCGGCTCACCACAACCTCCGCCTCCCGGGTTCAGGCAATTCTCCTGCCTCAGCCTCCCGAGTAGCTGAGATTACAGGCACACGCCACCATGCCCAGCTAATTTTTTGTATTTTTAGTAGAGACAGTTTCACCATGTTGACCAGGATGGTCTTGATCTCTTGACCTTGTGATCCACCCACTTCGGCCTACCAAAGTGCTGGGATTACAGGCTTGAGCCACCGCGCCCAGGGTATCTCACTGTTGCCCAAGCAGGCGTACAGTGGTGCAATCAGACCATAGCTCACTGCAGCCTCAAACTCCTTGGCTCAAGGGATCCTTCTGCCCCAATCTACCAAGCAAGCAGGACTAGAGGTGCATGTGCCACCACACCAGCTAATTTTTGTAGAGATGGAGTCTTGCTTTGTTGCCCAGGCTGACCTCAAACTCCTGGCTTCAAGCAATCCTCCTGCTTAGGCCTCCCAAAGGGCTGGGATTACAGGTGTGAGCCACTGCCCCTAGCCAAGTGTCATTCTTGACTCTTCTTCTCCCTATCTTGTTGGCTCAACCTTTAAAACTATAATACTTCTCATCACCTCCACCTCAAGTCCACAGTCCAAGCCACTATCTCATCTCTTTTCTAAAGAGATGAGAAATAAGCCTCCTAAACTGGACTCCCTGTTCCCACACAATATAATATCCATACAGCAGCAAGTGTAATTCTTTACAAACTTAAATCAGACTATGTGACTCTACTGCTCAGAACTTGTCATGACTTGCCATATCACTCAGAATAAAAACCAAAATCTTTATGACTACAAAGTCTTTGCATGATCTAGCCCTCTGCCGCCTATCTCATCTACCACTCTTCCCCTTGTACTGCCGCTCCAGCTGCACTGACGTTCTTGCCTTTCCTCAAACACACTAAGCATCCTCATGCCCCAGAGCCTTTGTGCTTGCTGTTCCTCAACCTGAAACCCTCTTCCCCCAGGTAGCTGCACAGCTTGCTCTCCCACATCACTCAGACTCAAATGTTACCTTACCAGGGAGTCCTTTCCTTACTAATCCTATATAAAAAAGTAACTCTCTACTCATACTGTCACTCTCAATCCTCTATCTGCTTTATTTTTCTTCTTACCACCCATCACCACTTGACACAGAAAGTCAAGTTGTTTACTGCCTGTCTTCCCTAGTACCAAAATGCTAGTACCACAGAGTAGCAATTTTGATTTACTCAAAAAGCAGCACAAAGAGCACCTGGCCTTTAGTCATAAATGACTAAATAGTAGTAAGTTGTTTGCTAAAAGTTTGATAAAGATTCGGTCATTTAATCTTTGTTATAAAGCATGAAGGAGGTACTATTATTATTCTACCTTTACCAATGAGGAGCTAAAATCACAACAGATAAAATAAGTTGAATGTCACATAGCTTGTAAGTGGAAGTCAGGCTCCTGTACCCATTGAATGAGATCCAGTTAGATATACAAAAAAGGCATTTAACAAAATACTTGGTATATAAAATGCCTATCATTAATAGAACACTTCTAATCTAGGCTTTTTATGTGTATTTACTATTTACTCATTTAATTCTGATATTAATAAGCACTTATTATATACTGTCATCAATATTTACTATTTATCAGGGCACAAACCTTAACCTAACAGTAGTCACAAACAGCATGCTATGAGATAAATGACACAGACTGAACCTTCACTCTTCTCAGAAAAAAAATGCTACCACGTGTTTCAAACAATATGTTGTGAAGGTTAGCACTGGAAACCAAATAAAAATTAACTGAATTCATATCATACATAGACACACATCATCAACTAGGTATGTGCTAGCTTGCAGTTCTAAAAAGCAAACTCTCTACAATCTCTAAACTCTCTAAAATTTAAAAAAAATCTACTCAAAAATTAAGCTGTTATTCCATCTTATAGCATACTATGCTTAATATATCTTTTTCATTATAAATTAAAAATATCTGGATTAAATTAGATCTCTTTAATATTTAAAATAGAACTTACTCATTTACAGCAGTGACTATTATTATTGGCAAGTTTACCTAATTTAAATAACCCCTTTCTTTAAATGTCAGTTTTATTACCAAAAATAAATTTTGAAATTACTGCAACTGAGGAAATGAAGTAGCCAATCCTTTTTTTTTTTTTTTTTTTTTTTTTTTGAGGTGGGGTCTTATTCTGTCACCCAGGCTGGAGTGCAACGGCATGATCTGGCTCACCACAACCTCCACCTCCCAGGCTTAAGCCATTCCCCCTACCTCAGCCCACACCCCCACCTACCCCCAGGAGCTTAGCTGGGACTACAAGTGCATCACCACCGCCCAGCTAATTTTTGTATTTTTAGTAGAGATGGGGTCTTGCCATGTTGCTCAGGCTGGTCTCAAACTCCTGGGTTCAAGCAATCCTCCCACCTTGGCCTCCCAAAGTGCTGGAAATACAGGCGTGAGTCACCGCATCCAGCCAAAGTAGCCAATTCTTTTATACTTAAGTTACAGTGAAAACCCACGGGAATTGTGGAAATTGCTGAATACAATTTCTTCAGCTCCATATAGACTTTAGTTTTTAATTTTTAGTTCAATCTGTAGATACTCATTTACTAATAAACATATAAAAGATTTTAAGTAGACTCTTAAAACTTACAGTGCAGACCAGGCGTGGTGGCTCAAACCTGTAATCCCAGCACTTTGGGAGGCTGAGGCAGGTAGATCACTTGAGGTCAGCAGTATGAGATCAGCCTGGCCAACATGGTGAAACCCCGTCTCTATTAAAAATATAAAAATTGGCCAGGCGTGGTAGCACACGCCTGCAGTCCCAGCTTCTCGGGTGGCTGAGGCAGCAGAGTAGCTTGAACCTGGGAGCAGAGGTTGGAGTGAGCTCAGATCACACCACTGCACGTCAGCCTGGGCGACAGAGGGAGACTCCTTAAAAACAAACAAAATTAAAAAATAAAAAAACTTACGGTGCAATAATGGCTCTAGCAGGTCTTTTTGTAGACTGTACTTGTGAAAGCCAACCTTCTAGCTGTGCATTCAGCTGCGGTCCTATAAAAAGACAAGGACAAAATTAGAGTCAGCAAAGCAGTGCACTACAGATACCCACGCATGGCATAAAGCCCTCATTGAACTTACGTGGGACTAAACTAGCTTAATGAGCAATAGGATCATCAGTTGGGATGTTAATGTTTAACTTTACCAACTATACAATAAGGCTGAATTCTGATTAAACAAAATTTGCTTTTATCCATTTACTTATTTACAACTGTCTTCATTTCAGAGCAACACAATGTGATTTACAAGTTGAGGCAATATTTAAACAAAATAAAACAGGAAATGAAAGATTCTCAGTATATGAAGAAGAAATAATTGAATATGTTATAGAGCACCAAAATCTGCTCTACAGATTAGTCACTGAGATGACATCCACGAAGGTAATCACTTCCATACCCAATCATCTTTTCTTCCGTCCCACTCCAGCCCCCTAGTCTCATGATGAAATTGACAACCAGCAACTACACTACCTTAAAAATCTCAATTTCAAGCATCTCAGCTTCTTTACTCATATACTTACATATCTTTCCAATTCACTACCAGAAACCTGTTAACTCCAACAGACCCTACAAATTTTTTCACTATCCTTCATCTCTCTTTTTTTGAGTCTCTAGTCTGAAACTCAAAAAAAATCCATCACAATCATTCCCTTACTTGAGGCCTCACTTCTGTGCTCCTCTCTCCCACCATCACAGTCAAAACATAGTTTAAAACCAACTTTCCACTTAACACAGTACTTTTACCTGAACAGCTGAATGAGACTAAATTCATTATTCATTTGCAATGCTGTATAATATTGTACTATATGAATACAGCAAAATTTATCTACTCACATCCCTACTTACAAATATTTTGGTTGTCACCAATGTTTAACTATTAATACATAATGCTACAAGTATCCTATGAACATCTGTTAACAGTTCTAAGACTTATCTAAAAGTAAAAGTGATGAATCAGACAGTGCACTGTTCTTCAACTCGACTACAACACTGCTAAGTTGCCCACTAAGGTAGCTGGATCAACTTATCCGTCAGTATAGAGGCAAATGAAAATTTAAAATAAGAGGCCTAATTCTACCTGTACTCCCCCAGCCTTTTTCTTACAGTGTTTTCTTTCAAAAACTTGTAAATTCTCTCTCTGCTCGCTTAGAGATGTATGTAAATCTTTGTAAAAGCTAGCCAGCAGCAGCCCAAAGCTGCCTTTCTCAAGGACCTAATGGCCATCTCTTTCAAATAAGATCATCAAAAGAGATGGTGCCCTTATCTCTCAGTTTCTACGGGAGGATAGGGTGCCTAACTTTGGCAGGCCATCTAGTTCCAAGTTGCAAAATTAAATCCTTTTATAAAGATATAAGTTCATTTTTCCTTTGAAAAAAGCCAATTCGTTCACACAAAAGGTCGCTCCAATTACCAAGTGAATTTAGGATAAACTATGTGTGGCAAAAGATAGTATCAAGTCCTCTTAGTTTAACACTATTTATTGTTTATCTTGAGAACTGGTTTGTAATGGGTTGTACCTACTTGGCTATATGTAAGGGTGAACATCCTTTTGGTCTTTGCAATCTCTTAGCAGATTGCTTGTGATACATGTGTCATTCTGGTTTAATACTTACTCAAAAATGAAATTGTTTCCTTTCTCTTCTGCCTCTGAAGATGTTTTCTGGGGGAAGCAGATTTCAGTTTTAATTGTATTTCATCATTGCTAACACAAGCTATAGTTAAAGGTTCCCATTCCTCTACCTCCTTCTCAATATTTGACACTGTCCACCATCAGAATTTTTCTTTTTTGTCAATCTGGGTATGAAATGGTATTCATTCCTTGTTTTCTTTTTATTTGCATTTCAATAATATCCACTGAAATCAAGCATCTACTGACTTAGAAGTCCTTCTGTATATATTTAGGATGTTACACATAAACAGGGCAAGTTTAAAATGGACAGTAAATTTGTAAATTGCCAAAGTACAAAAAAAAGTCTGACTCAGTGACTAAACAGAGTTCATCTTAAAATTTGAAAAAAAAAAACTTATACAAAGTCACTTCATAACTAACTCAAGGAAAAATAAATCACATGTCACATAATGACGTTTCAGTCAACAATGAACCACATATTCCGTAGTGGTCCAATAAGATGACAACAATGGGCCAGGCATGGTGGCTCACACCTGTAATCCCAGCACTCCGGGAGGCCAACACAGATGGATCGCCTGAGCTCAGGAGTTCAAGACCAGCCTGGCCAACATGGTGACAACATGGTCTCTACTAAAAACACAAAAAATTAACCAGGCATGGTGAGGAGCAGGTGTGCCTGTAGTCCCAGCTACTCGGAAGGCTGAGGCAGGAGAATCACTTGAACCAAGGAGGAGGAGGTTGCAATGAGCTGAGATTGCGCTGTTACACTCCAGCCTGAGTGACAGAGTAAAACTCCATCTCAAAAAAAGAAAATTGCAATACTGTATTTTCACTCTACCTTTTCCATGTTTAGATACACAAATACCATTTAGTTACAACTGCCTATGGTATTTCATACAGGAACATGCTATACAGGTTTGTAGCCTAGGAACAACAGGCTATACCATCTAGCCTTGGTGTGTAGTAGGCTATACCATCCAGGTTGGGCAAGTACACTCTTATGATGCTCAGACTACCATTTCTGGAGTGCATCCCTGTGATTAAGCAACACATGACTGTATTAACCCTGAAAAAGTCCACAACACAAGTTTACAAAACCAATATGAAAAACATATAAAAGCAAAAAAATATATACCTAAATTCATCGACCCCACTGCCACCAGCTTCACTGCTTTTAAGCACTAAACCAAGCTTTCATATGGCTACTTCTGTAAAAGAACCAATTTCTTCCCAAGGATGCTAAGGTAAGAGCCAAATTTCCAAGGTTCCCACTCATCTTTGAATAAGATAATCAAGCACACCTATTTATTACATATGGTTGCTTAATTATCTATAAAGTATCAAGTAAAAAGGTGAATCTGAGTTCTTCCACAGAGACTAGCCAATACTTGGCAATATGATATCCTTGATACATGAAAGATGTAGAAATATGTGCTTTGTTTTTCAAATACCACTGGGTTTAAAGAAACTCTGATAAATAGAAAAAGAAAAAGCATTGTTAAATCCTAGTAAAACTACTTAATGTTTGTGTGACCTTGCCCTTAGAGGGAAATTGGGCAATCACTTTTTTGGATAAAATAGTAAAATAGGTTCCCAAAGAATTAAACTAAGGTATTTCCTCAAGAAATAGATAAACAATGTGCTGCAGGAAATGCAGGAACACTTCTATTTGAATCCCACTGGACTCAAATATTTTCCAAGTACGTTTACTTGCCTGGTGACAAAACCAGACACTAAACACACACACATGTACACACACCTGCTTTTCAAGAATTCCCTTGCAACTATTAGCAGGACGATTCTAAACTAAGCTAATGAACTAAGGCAAAATGGTTTTCTGTACTTCTCTATTGCTGTTTAGCCTGCTCCTCCTTACTCCAGACAGAAGTCATGTGTTCTATAAACTCTTTTCAAACTTAATGAGTATGAACCATCTGAGAATCTTGTTAAAAATACTGATTCTGATTCTACAGTCATAGAGTAACACTGAGATTCTGCATTTTTTTTCTTTTTTTTTGAGACGGAGTTTCATTCTTATTGCCTAGTCTGGAGTGCAATAGTGCGATCTTGGCTCACTGCAACCTCTATCTCCTGGGTTCAAGAGATTCTCCTGCCTCAATCTCCTAAGTAGCTGGAATTACCGGCATGTGCCACAACGCTCCACTAATTTTGTGTTTTTAGTAGAGACAGGGTTTCTCCATGTTGGTCAGGCTCTAACATGCTTCTCAGGTGACAGCAATGTTGCTGGCCTAGAAGATACATTCCAGCAAGCACGATCAATGGTTGTCACAAAATTCACAAATCCAATTGTATACAAAGTTTCCGTTAGAGATAAAACCAAGGTCTAGATAAAGATGTATTTTAGATACCAGGACAAATATGTAAGAGAAACATTTCTCCACAAGGAACCCTTCTAGTATTGCTCAAACTATTCTACATATGTAAGTTAAAGAATGACCAACTGCCACAACCTTTTTCCATTCTTTTATAGGTAATACCTGCCTATTAGCACAATAAACTCAGTCCCACATGACTGGGTATAAAGTAACAAAAAGCAACACATAAAAAGCCAAATAGAAGTAGGCTGTTGGCACCTAGTGTTTCATTATTAATCATTCTGTGAAATACGTTCAAACAAAATTAAGAAACAAACTCATCTACAGTGAGAAATCTATAAATAATAAGATGAATAAGCCAGATTTTTTTAAAACAGTGGTTCCTGGATCTCCGATTTTCACAGACCAATAAAATTTCAAAAGAGGGTGTGGTGGCTCACACCTGTAATCCCTGCACTTTGGAAGGCCAAGGGAGATGGACCTCCTGAGGTCAGCACTTTGAGATCAGCCTGGCCAACATGCAAAACCCTGTCTCTACTAAAAATACAAAATTTAGCCAGGCGTGGTGGCACATGCCTATAGTCCCAGCTACTCAGGAGGGTGAGGCAAGAGAATTACTCGAACTCCCAAGACGGGGAGTTGCACTCCAACCTGGGCGACAGAGTGAAACTCCATCTCAAAAAAAAAAAAAAAAAAAACTCAAAAGAAATTTGGGGAACCAACAGAGCTTCCAATTTGTTTTGCTAAGAAAGGACATTTAAAACATAACCATTTATGTATCATCATCATTTCATAAAAGAAATAATCTAACACCAAAAAGCTAGAAGAACATAAATTTAAGATAATCTAAATCCTTTAAACTGAATAAATAAACCACAATTCATCAACTACAAGATGCCATCAATAACCAGAATATATAAGGAGTGCTAACAACTCCACAGGAAAAAAATCTAATAACTGGATCAAAAGTAGGCAAAAGATATGAATAGACATTTCTCAAAAGAAGACATACAAATGGCCAGGCGTGGT